CCTGTGCAGCGCCCCCTCGGGGAAACTCGAGGTTTGGTTTTAGTTGTATGGAGCGCTCATCTGAGTGTGCCCTGAGTAAGAGATATGTGCAGCTCCTATCGGGATTTGTCGGCACATCGGGCGGTGTTGCTGGTTTAGTTTTACCCTGTCGAAATGTCTTGTTATACCGGGATACTGAGTCTGATCGGAATGTCTCGGGTGGAGGTCTATTCCTTCGTTGACCGTGAGAGCTTGTCATGGGCTAAGTTGGGACACCCCTGCAGGGATTTGAACTTTCGAAAACCGTGCCCGCAGTTATGGGCAGATGGGAATTTGTTAATGTCCGGTTGTAGAAAACCTGAAGTTGACCTTAATTAAAATGCATCAACCGCGTGTGTAACCGTGATGGTCTCTTTCCGGCGGAGTCCGGGAAGTGAACACGGTGTTGGAGTTATGCTTGACGTAGGTTGTTCTAGAATCACTTCTTGATCATAGTTGTTCGACCGTGCTTTGCCTTCTCTTCTCGCTCTCATTTGCGTATGTTTAGCCACCATATATGCTAGTCGCTTGCTGCAGCTCCACCTCATACCTTTACCTTATCCATAAGCTTAAATAGTCTTGATCGCGAGGGTGCGAGATTGCTGAGTCCCCGTGGCTCACAGATACTTCCAAAACCAGCTTGCAGGTGCCGATGAGTCCGTGTAGATGACGCAACCAAGCTCAGGAGGAGCTCGATGAAGATTTTGTCCTTTGTGTGGTTTTGTTCTAGTTGATCAGTAGTGGAGCCCAGTTGGGGTCGATCGGGGACCGTGTCGCATTTGGGGTTCTTCTTTTATTTTGGTTCCGTAGTCGGACCTTGATTGTATTTGGATGATGTAATGCTTTATTCTTGTAATTGTGTGAAGTGGCGATTGTAAGCCAACTATGTAACTTCTTCCCCTATTTTATTACATGGGTTGTGTGAAGATTACCTCACTTGCGACATTGCTTTCAATGCGGTTATGCCTCTAAGTCGTGCTTCGACACGTGGGAGATATAGCCGCATTGAGGGCGTTACAAATTCTAAGTAACTTCTCACCATAGCCAAAGCTTGGAACCTACAACTACGAAAAAGAGAAAACATGATAACTCAATTACTAGAGCATCAAAAAGGTAAGAACTAGTTCTGAATTTTGTAGTAGAATAGGTGAAAGCTTGGTTTTGTATTCTAATTGCATTATTCTCACTATAGCCAAATGTTGGTGAAAACAACTAAGGAAAAAGGGAAAGGGAGTAAATCTGGATCCAGTGTAGCAAAAAGGTAATCTATGGTTGTTTCTAACTATGCATTGTTCCATTGTTAATCTGGGCTACTATATGTGATGTATGATGTGCTGCCATGAATGTGTATGTGTAGATCAAGAACATCTGTTATTGTGAAGGTACATGCCAAAAGAACAAGCAAAGAGGTTGCTGATAAGTTGCCACACCTTCCTATGGTGCCACATGACAGCCCTGCAATGGGCACACGAAGCAAAAAAATGAATCTTGCCAGCCCTGCAATGAGCACACGAAGCAAAAGGAGACTTAGCTTGTGATTCTCATTGGATCCCTTTCCATATCATGGTTCATTTTGGAAACTTTTGAGCTGTTTGTGATATATATGTGGACCTGGGCTTTTGTACATGCTATGTCAACCTGAATGTGTGTAGAGGACCTGGACCTGGACTATTGGAAACTTTATGTGAACCTGGACTTTTGGAAACTTTATGTGTTGTATTTGACATGATGTGAACCTGGACTATATGTGAACTCTATGTGTGAACCTGGACCAAGTTTCTATAAAATTTTAGTTTGCATACATGTGAATCTGCTCCAAGTATATTATAATTTGTGCATATATAAACTGTACAGGGGATATATCATCAAAATACAAGGGAGGTTCTGTCCAGTTATCCAACTAAAATTAAATATGTGCTAAATAGAATATTTGGTTTCATTTGGTAGTGTATTCAAGACAAAACAGATCACATCACCATTGCTTTTGACTTCCAGTTCACAATTTTGGTCACAAACTACACCAAGGGTAAAATGGACTTTTCATGTCGGATTTAACGGTGTTAGTGGTCAAAACTGATGGAAATGTCATATAGGGAACAAACTGAAGTTTGAGTGTTAGAATAGGAAGATTTTTTTTAGTAGGGTCAGAAAGGGAACCAAATTTTAAGGAAGTGCCAAATAAGGAATTCTCTCAATTTCAAGTGGGTCTTTGCGAACATGGTAGCAAGTATTTTGTGCTATCAAGTTAAAATGTGTATATACATCTCATTATAGAGAACAATCCAACATGCTACCTATTAGAGAGGATTAAACTATGGATTTTTTTTTCATCGCGCACATGGATTTGGCGTGCCTCTGCGTCATTTGGCGCGACGGGTCCACTAGTACTCTATATAAGCAGGGAGAAGGACACCAGGCTGAAGGTTGATCTCTCTTGTAAACTTACATGCAAAGGCAAAAACACCACACACAGAAGTAGGGTCTCCTCCGGCGAAGGCCCAAATGTGTATAAACCCTTATGCATACTCTCATCTATAACTTTCGATGGACACGACGCTCCTCCATACACATCCCTATACAAACAATACGGTGGTCATACTACCATTAATACATGTGACCACGCAAATCATCGTATGGTTGAATAGTTGTGATATAGGGTACAGCTGAGCCAGGGCCCGTAAACAGATTTCCGCTTGTCCATCCCATAGTCGAACTAGTAGTTATAAGATATCACTAAAATATACTCTAGAAGAGAGAATATAGACAACAATAGGCCACAATATTTAACAATCATCCCACTGGTAACATTTCATCCAGACCGAGAAACTCGAGTGAAACTTGCGTGTTTCAGCACAACGAACAGGCCAACATGTTACACTTGTCCAACTTGAGTTGTTGGTATCCTGTAGGCGGAGACCAAAACAGGTCGTTTGCACAACAATATAGACATCATCCTTCATGCTTAGCAATGGTGGGGAGGTCGTCGTCCTTTTCAATTGCAAGATTAGTGCGTCAAGATCAAGTGAGGCGTGATTTTAGCCAGTAAATCGTTGTTGGATTCTCCCTGTTACCAAAATGGTAGCTGCTTCTACAATCGCACGACTCTGCTTTCTAGATCTTCTGGACACTGTATCCAGCTTCTTCAGTATTCAAGCCGTCGTTCCAGCTCTGAAACTCTGACCCTCCGAACTGTACTTCCTTAATGCCCAGATGACTGCAGAGAACCAAACAAACCCAAATAAGATTGAATTGTTCTTGCATATATGAATACCGTAATAGAAACTTGACAAAGTGCAGAAAAATGCGAAGGTAGCAGTGTCATTCTAGCACTGTACCGCCCGGGGAACTAGCAGTCAGGCAGATTCATTTTTGTAGAGGATTGGTGCAACTCACGATATATTGATCGGGTGCATATGCACATATATAGGTAAAAAGGGAGCCACGTCCTCAACTATACAAGGAAGGAGGAGGGCTTGTTGTACAAGAAATACACATGCGATATATA